TAAGGTTTCATAATTGATTTGGAGTTTCAGTGATCTAATGGCCAGACAGCTAGCAGTGCATGTTGCAAAGACAGAAAAAGACAGACAGTGCAAAGGAATGTCAACTAAACGTCACCTCTGCTCATAGTTTATCACCATAAGGGCCACCGCTGCAATTGTTACCAACTGCCATTGACGCCCCGTCGCCGTAAGCTGCGCGCTGTACTGCGGCACAGCAAAACTTCAGGCGTTTACCACCAGCGACATCTATGGACGAGTCGGGAAGCAGGCTTCGCCGCCCGGCCGCGCGCCGCGCCGGCTGTCGAAGTGTCGAAAGTTAGCAGGTTAGACGCTGCAGACGGTGCTAGTATAAAGCTTATTTCGGGTATGATCCAAAATGAAGCCGCTAAGTCTGCCTGCTTATTGGACACTGGGTGACCCGCGCAGTTCCCCAGGTCTGGCTAAAACAGTTCTCATATCGTTTCAAGCGCGCACTGGCAGTGCCAATACTGTTCCGCTCGAGGAGTCAAAGAAATACGGAAATACCAAGTCTTATCCATGTCTTTGAAAGTGACAAAAGCAGCAATTTAAAGGTAAAACTACATTAAGTGTCGATTTCAAATGTTAACCTACCACCGCCACTAAAACAAAGTCTTGCCTAATTTGTTCCGTGGCCAGTGTTTCGCTACCGTCCTTACATGAACGGTTTGCCTCACCATTTAGATACTTCTTTAGACAGTTTCCGTACGAAATTTTTTAAGCAAATATGATTAATCCCCAAATATGTTACTCTTGAAGAAAATATCTTTAGAAATTATGCCTACAGAAACGCACTATATCAAGACAGTTTTCACCGGAGTGAGCCGACCGCATTAGTTTCAGTAAGTGTCCGTTTATTTGGCGAATATTACATACTTCCCCATCCACATCAGCAATGACTCCATTATTCCTTATTCTTGGGAATCTGGTCCAAGCCACTCGCCCCGGTGTCCATCGAACATCATCAGCCGCCGCGCTGCGCCCTGCTATCCCAGGTGGTGTCTTGTGTACACACAGTGGCGGTCGCAGGGGGGGGCCATCAGGGCCATGGCCCCCCCCCCCAAAGGCAAATCAGGGGGGGCCATCATATCATTTGGCCCCCCCCCCAAACAACCGATGGGCCCCCCTGGGCGTATGTGGCCCTAGCCCGTATTCGATTGTCACGAGGCTCGAGAAACCCACGCCAGCTATTAACAGCTCCCATACCGGTCTTTGAGGGTCCTACACTGACCTCTGAGGGCCCTTCAGTGGCGGTCAAGCGCCCACATTGACTGCTGAGGACCCACGTTGACCTCTGAGGGCCCTCCACTGGCCTTTGAGGGCCCCTAAACAGGTCTCAGGGGCCCAACCGGCGGCTGAGGGCCTCACACAGGCTCTGGTGGCCTCATTTCTGTCTCAAGACTAGCCTTTAATTGCCTCTGAGGGCCCGCACCGGATTCTGAAGACCCGATGTCGGCCACTAAGAGCCCGGATCGACCTCTGAGGGCCTCTCTTGGTCTTTGAGGGCCCTCCGCTGGTCTCTGGGGTCCAACGCCGGCCTATGCCGGTCTTTTAGGGCCCCACACTGACCTCTAAGGGTCCCATGCTAGCCTGTAAGGACCCACATTAGCCTCTGAGGCCCCCCGCACTGGATTCTGAAGACCCAATGCCAGCCTCCAAGGGCCCGCATCGGCCTCTGAGGGCCCATCTTGGCCTTTAAGGGCCCTCCGCTGGCCTCTGGGGTCCAACGCCAGCCCATGCCGGTCTTTCAGGGCCCCACACTGACCTCTGAGGGCCCTATGCTGGCTTGTAAGGACACATATTAGCCTCTATGGGCCCCGCACTGGATTTTGAAGACCCGATGCCGGCCTCTAAGGGCCCGCATCGGCCTCTGAAGGCCCATCTTGGCCTTTGAGGACCCTCTGCTGGCCTCTGGGGTTCAACGCCGGCCCATGCCAGTCTTTCAGGGCCTCATTCTGACCTCTGAGGGCCCCATGCTGGGCTGTAAGGGCGCACATTAGCCTCTGAGGGCCCCGCACTGGATTCGGAACACCCGATGCTGGCCTCTTAGGGCCCGCATCACCTTTGAGGGCCCATCTTTGGCCTTTGAGGCTGGCCTCTGGGGTCCAACGCCGACCCATGTCGGTCTTTTACGACCCCACGCTAACCTCTGAGGACCCATGCTTTCCTGTAAGGACCCACATTAGCATCTGAGTGCCCAAGTCGGTCTCTGATGGTCTCAAACTGCCCTTTGCAGGCCCTGTACTGGTCTGAGGGCCCTAAACTGGCCTCTAAGGGCCCAAACCGGCCTCTAAAGGTTCCACACCGGCCTCTGATGGTCCCATTTCTGTCTCTGGGACCCAAACTGACCCTTATGTGCCTCTGAGGGCCCCGTACTGGCTTCTGAAGGATCGATGCCGGCTTCTGAGGACCCATACCGGTCTTTAAGGGCCTCACACCGACATCTGAGGTGCCCCAAACTGGCCTCTATATATGACCCCAACTGGCCTATGAGGTCTCTACACCGGCCACTGATGGCCCTATTATGTTCTATGGGGCCCAACACTTACCTTTTGGCGTCACGCACTTGCCTCTGAGGGCCTACATCAGCCTCTGGGGCCCCATCTGGTGCCTTTGAGGCCCTTCGCTGACCCTTGGGTCCAACGCCGGCCTCTGGGGGTCTGACACTATGCTCTAAGGGCCACGTTGCAGCCTCTATGCGATAGGTATCGCCGAACCGTTATCCATGAACCTATAAGTGTAGGAACCATGGGTGCAGTGGGTGCAGTTGCACCAACAATAATTATCCAGTGGGTGCAGACAATGTATTGTGCACCCACAATAATCTGGAATAAAAAAAACCCTTTTCTCATCAACACTACTTTCGATGCAGCACGACAAATTCAGGATATTTTGCCCACTACTATCCATCTTTCGATGCATTTGCTACTGTGATGGCCTTCAAAACTTACATTTGTGCTCAAGTAAAAATAAGAAACGAAACACATGTGATTGAACACATACCGATGACCCACTGTCAAAAGTTTTCGCACGGTATCTTCGAAAATGGCTAAGTTAGCCGGTTTTACTTTTTGCGGTAGTCAATTCACAGTTGCGTGAATTATTGACATTACCAATGCTTCAAAATGATCTTACCCTTTCGACATGGTACACCCTCAAAGCTGGCAATGAGCCTCCGCTCGGGTGCCGCTCCCTACCCCCCCCCCCCCCCGCTTCACCGGCCATGGCTGGATTTCTGCACCCATGCACTACGCCCGTGGGCCCCTTTAGGCTAGCACCGGGCCCCCCGGGTCAGTGTAGGGGCCCCTTAGCCAAGTTGGCCCCCCCCCAAACGCCAAGTCTGCGACCGCCCCTGTGTACACACACCAGTCACACACGACGCCGGAAAGGGTAGCATCTCGGAGCCATCTGCTATTGACACGCCATCCGTTGCCACGAGGCCAAGGCCGCACGCTCCCTCAGGCACAGATCCATCTGGGTCAGGGTCTGAGGAGCGACAGACGCAGTGGCAGCCTCCCACGCAGGCAGAACGTCAACGTCAACAGACGGCGATAAAATTATGACTCTTAAGTCTTAGGTAGAGCTGAATAAGGAGGTAAAATTCTAGGGACGATGTGTGTGTGTGTGTGTGTGTGTGTGTGTGTGTGTGGTGTGTGTGTGTGTGTGTGTGTGTGTGTGTGTGTGTGTGTGTGTGTGTGTGTGTGTGTGTGTGTGTGTGTGTGTGTGTGTGTGTGTGTGTGTGTGTGTGTGTGTGTGTGTGTGTGTGTGTGTGTGTGTGTGTGTGTGTGTGTGTGTGTGTGTGTGTGTGTGTGTGTGTGTGTGTGTGTGTGTGTGTGTGTGTGTGTGTGTGTGTGTGTGTGTGTGTGTGTGTGTGTGTGTGTGTGTGTGTACCTTTCGATGGATCTAGTTTTGCGATACGGATAATAAATCAATGAAAACTAGCCGAAATAGCTGGTGAAGTATCGTATGATTTTTGGTCAGGGTTTAAATACTGGGTACATTTTCACATAAGAAAGTAATAAAAACTAGCAAGAAAGAAGTCGTGTGCTTAGAGTGGTTGATTTTAAAGATAAGCCATAAGCGACGATCTTGGGACATTTTCTGCAGTGTTCCGATGCATCAATGCATTGCGTATGCCCATAAATCAGAGGCGAGGCCATTGCACGCAGCCTACACTTCGCTGTCCTTATCTCCGTTGTACTGAAAATACTCCACCTAACCACTAATTAATAAAGCTCTGGCTGTGACCTTTTACAGGACACAATAGGGGCGGGGCCGCTGTTTTTTCGCGGGCCCGGATTTGGCCCGTGTCTCGTGTGCGGTGACCTATGCCCTCCGGCGGCGCAGCCACGGCCCCATATGGGCGCCAAATTAGTGGTAACTATCAGTGCCGTGGTGCTGCTAGTCATCACTATCCATACAGATAGGGCGGCTACGAGCTCCACAGCGTACACACTGCACACGCAGCTTTGTGTACGCGCAGGCCTCATCCCAGCCGGCGGTGGTCCAACGCTGACGGTTGCTCAGCAGTCCTGTGTACGGAGAGGACGTGACCTGAGAGGTCACTCATGGCTGCTCCTTCTTATTGAAAACGGTTCAGGTCTTTGGAGTTCTGGAACGTCAGCGTCGGGTGTCTTTACCAGTGCCAAGCACACTAGTTATTGAGTATTGGGGTAGTGCAACTGCCACTGCATAATGAAAATAAACAGGGAGGTCAGCTTGTTCCTCCGCTCACAGCAATCGGCAGCAAATATGGCGCAGTTCGAATATAAGGTATTGTCGCTGCAGAGTTAGGTGGTTCGCTTCAGATGAGGCCACACTATGTAATTACGTGAGTCATGGCTGGTAAAAACATGTCAATCACAATAAATGAAAGTTTCTGCGATCAGGATTCAGGATACCCACGGTGACTGTAAATAAGGATACCTTTCTTTCAGGAAACCGGCAACTCGCAACAGCATCCAACAACACAAACACACGCAAACGTCTCAACTCTGTATTGAAAGAACGGTGCATTGGTGCCTGTGCTGAGCGTCATGCAGCTATTTAGAGGCAGTACGTTCGATGCTTTGCAGTGCAGTGGGTGTGCCGACACTGGACAACACATATTCAGACAATACACCCTACATAGCCTGGCATAGTTTGAGCTGTGACTGAGGCGGTACCCTTGTTAGCGATCCGACCGGCTCGTGCCACGTGAACGTGACACGTGACCACGCGGGGCGCCACGAGTCACACAGCGATAGTCACCGGCTACTGTATAGGCACAATGACGTGAGATAGGCATTAGGCAGCGGCTGGGCCGTCCAGACGCGAACGCCTTGGCGAGGGACGGCACTGCCTACTAGGTGCTGTGCTGGACAATCCAATAAGAGAATATCAACACGTACATGCAGCATGGATCAGAATACAGCATATGCATCATATATGTCACAAGCTACAAGAAACCAGCGCACGAAACACACTTGCATCTCATACCTAAAATCAAACTTTACTACAAGATCCCCTGATCTAGGTAACAAAGCTGGTAGAAATGCGCACTGTAGCGGCAATTTCACACCATCGGTACTGGCACGGCTAGATTAAACTCACGGGAAACACGATTCAATCGGCAAGTAAACACAAGCTCACGAAGCTATGAAGCTTCACGAGTGCATAAAAGGTCACGTGACCGTCGGTCGACCGTCGGCCTGCCACCAGCTGACGCTCAGCCTTGGGTCACGTGACCGGTAACTGTGATCACCGGACTGGATTAGCACACTCATCCTACTGGCCAATGTCCCCAATCCCCTCCATGCACCTATATACACAGTACACGCACATGGCATCAACAATGGCACGACAAAATTATCCCTTGATACAGCTAGAACGTTGATTTCCGCGTAGACAAGCAAAAACAGTGCTTCTAAAATACCCCTAGACTACTACATTGATTGTAATGCGCAGACAAAATTACAAAAATGAGCTGGGCTAACCAAGTTAAACGCACACTTCTAAATTAGCGAACGAAACCACCGGTTTTCATTAACCGATGGCCCGAGGCTGGGCTATCCTTACGCTATTGACTGGATCCTGGGCACTCATCCAAACATGGCCGTTTGGGCACGGTAACACCTCACGACAACACATACCATTACACTGGGAGGCTATGAAACGCGACGGTGCAATGGTCCCGGGCAAACACTTTGGTGAAGAAGGAGAAGGCAATAAAAGACTGAACAGGTCAAATGTGACGTACTTGATCATAGTCACATTATACTAAAAAGGCCATAAGGAATAGCTTTAATGACAAAGTGCACTTACTCCCTAAAAGGTTTCACAAAAACGAGCATTGATATGTTTGTGTTGCGAGAAGTCGGGACCATCGCCGTGCGCGTCCCTGCCATGCTGTCATTCCACTGTCGGTAGGTAGCAGCACCTACTGTCCGCCAGAGGGCAGCTTCTGTACACGAGTGACTAGCGCAGAACTCAGTCGCCCTTGGACTTTGTTGGCCGCGGCTGGGCAAGCGGCGGCCGTGCCGGCGGCACAAGTCGGGACTAGATCTGCACTCCACACCAACCACGCATACACACACGCACCCAGCCACATGCACGCGTATATACAACTTACCGGCGCTAGTCACCGTCTATCGAGCATGCTAAAAATGACCAACTGAACTGACCAGAATGTGTACAAGCTCAAAATGTGACTGACCTGTCTTTAGGGGCGACAAGAAAATATCTTAAAACCTTGAAGAATGCGTCACTGATCAGGCCATGGTTTCTACACTGGCTGGCCTACAGTATCAGCTTACAAATGCCCTATAAATGCGGTCTTTAAAATGCCCGATGGTAAACCAAGCGATGTCTGTAGTTTCTAGTTAGTTACCGTCACAAAAAAAACGATTACGCATATGCGCTGTTTTCAGCGTAATACACAAGCACACAATCGGTGGGATATCGTCCTGAGCGCACGACAAACGCCCTGTCATGGCCACAACAGCTCGACATTAACACTGAAACCCGTCTTGGGTCGCGGTAGGTACTACTTCCTCACCCGCGGTCGGACACCAGCTATACAAAGACAACGAGATCTCGCACTAATGCCTGTCGTTCTCGACTAGACGGTGACTACAAGGTGACAGCGGCCGGCTACTGCCCCCCCCCCTCCCCTCGGTAGCCGGCCGCAGAAGCTCGTGCACAGATTGGTACTGATTGTTCTGCCAGGAGCGGTGCCCCGTGTACTGGTGCCTGACCTCCCATCGTGTGTCATTCAGCCCCCCCCCCCCTTCCTCTTCTTAACGGTTTGAGGATGACCAGACGCACCGCGGGCCGGTCCGGTCCCCATGGGACCAGGTCCCACAGACCAGACCAGCAGCGGCGGGTGGTCCCCGACGTCCCGGATGTCAAATGTCCGCCAGCCCCTTCGTCCACCCTCACTCCCCCTTAAAACCCTGAAACCCACACTTACTCCCATGAGACATACTATCCATCCCCAATTTATCGTAGTGACCAAGTATAACCCTCCCAGAAGCTCACCATGAATCATAGCCCACCTCCTTTTCCTCCCTCGACCCATTCAGAGCTCGAACCCCCCAGCGCCCGTTGTAATGCTTCGCCGGCGCCACCTACGATGCTAGCTCCTCCAGGATCTCCTCCACGGTTTTGCGCTCCTTTCTGTACTGTTCCATGTAGTCGCGCGGAATGGTCCAGTCGAGCAGCAGCTGAACGTTGGCGCGCAAAATCTCCACCTCGTTCCCGCCTTCTCGGAATGGAGTTTTGCCGCCAGTCTCGAGTGAGTCCTTGAGAACCTGTGGAGAGCACGGACGGCGGTGTAAGATTGGTGGTTTTGTGCCTCGGGATATCTACGAGAAACCAGACAACTCGGCCGCAGGGCTGAAAAAAGTGTTTCGGTGGTTGTCGTCCGAAGGAAAACGGGCTTATTTGGTTGTCGGCTAAAGATGTCTAACCCGCGCCCCGCTGAGGGTCCTTGATTTCCATGCCCTGCTGGGGGGGGGGGGGGTACAACACCCCGCTCTTTTAACTCTGATCCTGGGTCAAGCAGTGTTAAGCAGTAAACGGCATTCGAAAGAACGTCCAAAATAAGGATGAAAATATGTCATTCATTTGTTAGATCAAGTCAGAGGTCAGGTCACCAGATGCCGTAAATGAAAAATATTGCCTTTTTCAACTTTTTTCTTCGAAACACCGGGCGCCGCGGAAAAGATTCGATAGCCCTTTTGACCCGCCTTTCAGTGACTTTTCGACGGTGCCACTGGTCGACCTCCACTCACCTTTCAACAAAACGTGCTCAAGTTAGTACAAGCACTTAAGTCGTGCAGACGCCACGGACCCTGCGTGCGAATACATTCTAATTCCTCTCCTTCTTGATAGCGCAGGGCGCTCAGCTGTCAAGCTCAAATGTCCGACGATCCCTATTCCTCGACCTCGGAAGTCCCGAGACACCATATCCTCGTGGGCATGACATGGCGTGCCCTCCCCGCATCAAAATATTACCGGCACTGGCGCGGTCCCGCCGCGGACCTACCCCCAGGCGCCGCCGGGGGTGGGTATGACGTCACAAAAGGAGCCCCGGCGGATTGGAGGGGACGCTAACTGACCGCCGGCCGGGGGCGGCGCTGAAGGGTGCGGGCAGGGGCCGGCCGAGTCCTGGAAGGTACTAGATTTGCCAGACACGTGTTGCCAGTGGACAACCACGGCGACCACTTGGTATGTCATTGGTCGCCTTTATGAGGGTCGCCGGTCGGCCGTCCGAACGATGGTCGAACGACGCAGTATATACTAGATAGCTACGGGGAGTTGGAATATGTCTGTAGCTACCAGGAAATTTTCCACTGGCGGATGCCGCCGCGTAGGGTGGTAACGGACTCGAGAACTGCGAGTCGATTTGATGGGGAGGGACAGAGAATGGTTTGCGTGGGAGAGGCGATTGGGTTGGGTGGGCAGATACGAATGGATTGCGCGCTTCTAACTGCACTAAGCGGGAGGTCTAAATCAGTTCAGGCGCTGCGCGTGGTCGCCATAAGATCGTCTTCTCGGTTGTCGTCGACAACGACAAAACGATACAATTTTTCACCCCTGCTCGGCCGAAATCGCCAAACGGCGGCAGGCCAGAAATTATAACCCTGGACCTGTGCCTAGGGATGGGAAGAGGAAAGCAAAAAGGGCGCGAGAGAGAAACTATGATAATCAGATGAACAGCCACAGAAATGTTTAAAATGGCTTGAGATCACAGATGTGACCTCAAGTCGTCGTTATAATGAGTGAGATTTTAAAATTGTGGCTAAGGCTCGAAGGCATCCCGAGCGAATAATGAATAGGAACAGGCACGCTAGTTAAAAAAACACCTTGTAATAGTGATAAAAATGTGTCGATTTCACTCCACCATTACTGAAGACCTTACATACTATATATCTCATCAAACCATAATCAAGCTAAATCACACAAACCCAGCCAGCAATTTTGCTCCGGGCCCAAGCAGGCTCAAGTGCGGATTGCCCGAGATTTTTAGTCGGGCTAAAGTCGGCTAGGGCTTGGGCTAAAGTCGGCGTATGACACAAAAACGCCGACTAAAGCCCATGCTCTGCCGGAGGTATGCCCGCTCTGCGAGCTCCGGACAGCCGTAGTTTAGCCCTAGTTGAGCGACGATTGGCGTTAGCCCGATTTAAGCCCGAGCAGTGAATCCATTTATATAATGGAGATTACTCTGGGCCCGAGCGGGCTGAACTCCGGCAAGCCCACTCTGTGTGCCCTGTCTATCCCGACTTAAGCCATAGAAGTGAATGGGGTTTATGCATTGCAAACTGCTGTGGCTTTGCTCGGGTTCGGCTCGAGTGACGGCTCCTGTTTTCTCAAGTCTCGACTTGACTTCATCTTGCTTTTACTTCACACTGGATCAAGTAGCAAGGAGCGGCCAATGCACTTTCAGCAGGTTGTGCGGTTTCAATGCATATTTAAAATTGTTACGGTCACTCATATGCTCTGTTAACCGGTCATCGAGCATTGCGAAAGGAAAGTAGTGGTTGACTTTGATTGAATGTATATTTCAAACGACTACAGACACTCAAATGAAACACAAATACATGAAACAGTGGACTGCAAACTGCAGCAATAATATGGCATGAGTCATGAAAAAGCGCCATCAAAACTATAAAACAATCAAAGGCCCGCTAGCCTCCCTCCCCGTTCATAATACTTGGTTGAACACTCAACCGAAAGCACAAAGTAAGGACAGCAAGTAATCGCTCATAAGACATAAAGCAATTAGCAAACAATCGTTTATAAGGAACTTTACTCTGGTGAATGGGAGCTTTGGAGGCGTCTGGCTCCTCCACACACACACACATCTGCAGTAGGTGGTCGGCCAACTTTCGGCGCAGTTTCCGTATCTCCGTAGGTATACCGTATTTCCGTAGATATACCTACTTAATTATAAGCAGGCAGTTTCCGCTAAACCACTTGGCGAGGGCGACTGCGGCGTCCACCCGGTCCTGGTTTGTATAACTATTCCATTTTTTGGAGCCATTTGCTCTAATGGTACGTACCTGAAAAAGAGATTAATTGGTTTAATTTACATTGCATGTTTGCTTGAAAAATAACTTATTGTTGCATCAATACTGTAAAAGCACTTCTCATTGATCCGTATAAAATGGTCATTCGATTTTCAACGCGGACAGAGAATGAGCGTGCTCGGTGATAAGTAGATAAATATTTGTGTTTTGTATTTCATTTTCCTGGTTCAGAAGTGCTGGTATTTCACAAAGATATAAAGGCACGGAATGCGGCTTTTCTGAGCGAGGGTATAAGTCGCCAGGCTGAACAGCTATTCAGATTCATGTTTGATGGCGTGAAACTCAGTCAAAACCATGACGTTTACATACGATCAAGCGCACCATTCAATACACTTACCTACCGTAAAACTCCACGCCAGTCCACTTGATAAGAGCAGTGAGCACTATCCCTTCTTCGCGCTGTCACACGCGCCCAAACATCAACCACCAAATGCCTCAACACCGGTGTGTCGTTTCGTCGCACAGCGCACAGACTGTCACAAACGCTGCACATGATTGGCGCAGAACTGCGCATGCGCGAACAGCCGAACAAGTATGGCTAAGCTCCGGCTTTACTCCAGTTAGCCGAAGGACACAGCCAGCTTGATCAGCCCGCGCTCCGCCCAAGTTAAGCCTGTTTTGGATGCGCGGGCAGATGTCGGGCTGAGCTACTGCTATCCGCACGTGGGCATAGCTGCGGCATGCCCCAGCTCAGCCCTAGTAAAAAATGCATTGGTTTTGATCAAAGTGGGCAAACCCAAGCTAAGCCCAAGCTGCCCGACGTTTGCCACAGTTCAGCCCAAGCGAATTGCTGGCTGGGAAGCCCTCTCAGGAAACACCTATCCGTGCTTCTATCCTCAGGATACTGAAATCCTTCTCCTCCACGCCAAAACCCCCTTCCGGGCTGGACAGGCAACTTTATCTCATGCGGGCTGCTCCCTTGGAGCGGCACCGCTGCTCCCGAGGGAGCTGCACCCCGTAGCCGGGTGCAGAGAGTGCTTGGGGGGCTGGTCGGCCGGTCCTATGGACGGGCTCAGCCCCGGCGACTCTCTAGGGTGCCTGCCCAGACCAATGTCTCCCCCTAATTCCTATCATCCTTCCGGCTCTGCAATGGTCTTGTCGACCGAAAGGGCCTAACCCAACAAAATAAAAACTCTCAGGAAACCACCACCACCTTACGACACTCACGTCATCTATGAGCCGCCGGCCGAACCCAAACTTGAGCAGCCTGGCGCTAGTGCTGATCTTCTTCATCAGGATCGCCAGGTAGCCGCGCAGCTTGGAGACGGCCATGCCGCCGCGAGTGATGATCTCCGGCATGGTCTCCGGCTCCAGGATCTCTGTGCGGTAGGTGTCCACCTTGCCAAACTCGGGGCCGCCGCCGCCGTGAGCCGGGTACTGCGGGTGGTCCGACTCCACGTGCCGCTCCCGCTCGGCTTTGGTCTGAGGGGAGATGGGGTGAGGTCACGGTCACCAGCGGCTCGGGCAGGTCAGGTCGAGTCAATGTGAACACGAGTAGAGTCACGAGCAGCTAATTCAAGTCGGGCTGGCACGGGTCGGGTTAGGTCTGATAAGATTAAGTCGAGGTGAGAGCATCTCAGGACAGGTCAGGCCAGGTCAAGTTCGGTCGGGTAGGGTGAAGTCAGAGTGAAAGAGTATAATTCAAGTCGGGTTAGTTCAGGTGGAGCGGGGTTGGAGCGAAGCAAGGTCAGGTCTGGACACGACCGGTCAGGGTCTAAGTGCGTCAGAATGAGGTCTGGTCAGGTCACACTTGAACCTCACGTGAATTTGATAGATTATTGACTTTCAGAATGAGTGAACATACTAGGAAATATAAAATACACGTAAGAAGCAGCGAGATAATATCTAAAAGTGGGTTACCGCGGGTAATCTGTTTCGTTGCTCGCAATAAAAAATATCCAACCAAATTACATAAAATCAAACAACTCCAAATATCCGACAGCCCTTCCCTTCCTTCTCCCATATAAATCACGTTCCCCGGCGGCGACCTTTTCCCCTCTCTCGTTCCCTCAGTCCTACTCTCTCAGCGCCACTGACCTTGAAGAACTGTCGACACGCGCCGCACATGTAGGGGTCCTCGCGTTTGTGGATGCTGCGCAGGTGTTTCTTCAGGTGGGGTAACTGGTTGAAGAAGTGGTTACACAGCGGACACCGGTAGGGCTTTTCGCCCGTGTGCTGCCGAAGGTGGACCTTCAGCGCCGTAGAATGAGCGAACTTCTGAGGGCACACCTGTGAACGGGCGGGGTAGGAATATGTAGACGGTATGAGTCGATAAAGTTGTCGATGCGTGTTTATACATGGCTACAGCGCGGAATGATGCTAAATAAGTTAAGGTGGCCAGTCCAGGCAATGGGTATTCGCCAGAGCAGCACGATATATTCATGGAAGTGGAACCGTGTTAGCATTTGATCACGCCCCACAACATTTAAGTGGTGCAAAATAGCTAAAGTGCATACATTACTTGTAACGTTACTGAACCCAGGAATACGACCCACGACGTTATCAGCCACACGATACAGACATTCTGTACCATAAGAGCCTAACGGTCAAGCCCTTTCCCTCCCCTTGTCCTAACAGCTTACTCACCTGACAAGCATACGGCTTGATCCCGGTGTGCACACGCATGTGCACTGTCAGCTGCGAGTTTTGTGCAAACGCTGCCTCACACACCGTGCACGAGTAGGGCTTCTCCTGTGTGTGTACCCGCAGGTGCGTGCCCAGGTGGCCCTTGAAGCTTTTGTCGCAGATGGGACAGCGCATCGGTCTCTCGTTCTCGTGGTAGGACTGAATGTGCTTGCGTAAGGCATCCTGACGCACGAAGCCCTTGTAGCAACGGGGACACTCGAAGTCTTTGATGCCGGAGTGTTTCTTCTCATGCAGCTTGAGGTTGGTGGCGAAGGCGAACTTCATGTTGCAGTAGGAACAACTGTAGGGCTTCACCCCCGTGTGAGTACGCTTGTGCTGGATGAGCTGACTTCCTCTCGCGAACGACTTGTCGCAGAGGTCGCAGTGGAAGGGTTTTTCGCCAGTGTGGATACGCATGTGCACCTTGAGACGCTCCTTGATGCTGAACGCACGCGAGCAGATGTCACACTTGAACGGTTTGACGCCCGTGTGACGTGTTTCATGTGCCCGCAGACTGCCCAGCTGAGTGAACCGCGCCGGGCAGTAGCTACAGCTGTACGGCTTCTCTCCCGTGTGAATACGCACGTGCTTCACCAGGTCACTGCGTGAGCCCATCACCTTGTCACAAATGGTGCACGCGTGTCGTTTGGTGGGCGGTTTGTTGGCACGCGGCGCGGCCGGCGCTCGCAGCAGGTCTGTCATGCTCAGCTCGGTGTCCACAACACTATCGGCCGCACTACTGTCCACCGACTGGCGATCGAGATCCAGCAAGAGACCTCCACCACGCGGGGGTGAGATACCCCTCCGCTGCGGCACCAGTTCGCTCAAACCCGGCCGGTAGTTGTCGCTGGACAGGTGGGCCCCATCCCCAACGGCAGTGCTGACTGGTTCCGGAGGCCACAGCGCCGCCGACGCGTTCTCCTTCATAGAGAGCAGCAGCCGCGCTGTGTCCATGGTTCCCTCGCAGCGGTTCACCGGTGGAGAGATGAGAGGCGCCGACGGGACGACTCTGGACGGACCGGCCGCCGCAGAGCCCGACGCGCGAGCGCCGCCAACTTTTGTGGGTGATGGGGAGGACGAGGCAGCGCTCTTTCTGGAGCGAGGACTCGTCTCGGTCGACCACGAGGAGAGCAGTTTGTTGACTGGGGAGCGTTTCAGAGCGGCTCGAGGTGATGACGCTTTAATTTTCGAGCTGGTCGCCGCCTTGGGAGAGGAGGCCGGCGCCGCCGCCGGCTTCTTGCGCCCCATGGTGAGGCGCTCGGGCCTGTCGGTAAAACAAAGGAGAGGTCACTAATTGCGGCAATGCATTCGCGTAGTACATCGAGTTCGATAAACCTTTGGTGAGGCATGATAAAAGTGCAACAGTACCCACAGTCAGAGGCTCCTGGCAGTAGTGTAGCCGTATCCCAATGCCTCTGAAGGTCCCATGAAGGGCCCTGGGCCCTTCATGCCATTAGATTTGACGTCATGTTAACTGTTTGGCCACGAGGGCAGCACCACCAAATAGACGGATTTTGTCGAAATAATTGTGCCAAAAAAGCAACAAATTTGGTATCTGTGATATCGAGTCCTCCCGTGTGATTCCTTCTTTGTCCCACGTTATTCAAACTTACTGTAAAGCCACCACCATGATGTAAAATTTTAAAAGAAGCACAAACAGAATAGGCAACGTTAAATTTACGAACTCCACTCCTGTGAGCTGGCTCGGCGTCTACCAGACTCGGTCACCGCCCCTCCGAGCCCTCGGCAGTCACGCGGGTGGAGCTGCGTCATTTAACGAGCACTACGTCGCGAGCCGTCCGGGCCTTTACCAAAACTACGACGCTAGCGCTTCTGCACACCATACTAGTGTCAAAACTATTTATATGACATTTATTTTGCCACCATCGTTTCTCTCGTCGAGATGCATCGGATAAGCTATGATTTCACCAGAAAAGCTCAGCTTCAAAATTTGACCTCAGGTCTGGGTCATACCCTGAATGGAAAAGGTCATGCTGCATATCATTCAATCGGCATTGATGATCTGAACACATTTCAACGCTCTACCATGTTTCCCTCAAAGGTTACGACCGAAAAACGGATGGTGACCTTTTTGACCTAGCATGACCTTTTGAGTGACCACTCACCAGCAACTGCACCCTGTTCATCACATATGGGCAGAGCCGCAGAAAGGTCGTGTTTCTGCAAAGTGGTTTTGACGCGTTTGTTCAAAGCAGGAGGTATTTGTACTTTCCCCTATTTGTCTCATGATGGTAAGGTAACAAATATGACCTGACCACAGGTCACAGTGTTAACAACGTTTAAAATGATAATTCTATATTAATTTATTATTCAAATGGCTTTGGGATTTTCCGAGAATATTCGGCAAAACAGCAACTGTTTTCACTGTTGGTAAGGGACCCACTTGGCTTGAGGGGGCCCACTTTGCTGGGTGGGGGGGGGGGCATCGCAAACGTCTCTCACCCCTGTCGCCAGAGTTCTGGCTGCACCCCTGGCCACCGCTGATTCATCTGTCAGCTGTCAGCTGTCAGCTGTCAGCTGTCATCTGTCAGACCGACCGCAGTCGGGTGTGACAGTCACAGGGGGAGAGGGGAAGGGGCACCGCGAATAGAGTCGCCGCCACCTCCCTCCCTCTCTCCCTCTCCAGCTCAGGCTCCGCACTCTGCAGAACATTGATCGTTTCTGGGTGGGGAGAACTGCCGGAGGGACGACTGTGGGACTGAGAGCAGACTGATGGGACTGACTGATAATTGAAAAGGACTGACCGTAATAGACTGACTGCTGATTGCATTGTGGTCCGAATCGATAGACTGAGTTGCGAACCGAGTTACCGTCCGAGACGTGTCTCAGGAATAAATGATAATTAGGGAGTGATCAAGTTTTGAGTAACAATTGACCGGAGTTAACAAAGAAACATTTAAGGGCTGTGGATAGGACTGATTGAGATGAAAGAGAACGACTGAATAACTGGTACGTAAACGGTCGTACGTGACCAGACACCGCCAACCGCACAGCCGAAGCGGGACGTGCTCTCGGCGCATTTCAACTTCTATGTCCGGTCCAAAGTCACAACCAGACATCAATGCGTCACTGCGTCATACTCGACGTCACAGCGTCACAATGCCACGTCAGAGTCGGGCCACGTTACAGCCACATGAATATTGACGCCGGCGGAGCTCCAAATTCCGGCGCGATGATCCGACCGCCGATATGACCGACCGACGTGGCGACGAAACTTGATCGGGATAACACGCAGAGGCGGAGTCAGGAAAACATTGAGGTGGGGCATGGAGTAAACATCAAAGCGTTCAGAAATAATAAAGGTTGTCCGACGAGCTATTCGGGCCTTGCTGGAGATGGTTCCTATAAGGGAAGATTTTTTTTTAAACCAGCCGAATATTGACGATCTCCTGAGAAAATTGCGAGTCCACAGAGTTCCACCGCATCTCTAGCATTTCTAAACCAGCTTGAGAAATCTTGAGTCAGCATACGACCTATTGCCCCTTCTAGATCCGCCCATGGCGTCATTTACGGTTTGGCAAGCCGCAGGGAGCATACGAGCTGGCTGGGCACAGCCGCGAGCGCCCGGCCGGCTGGGGTGAGCAGACATTTCCTGGGAGCTGAGGAGGGGGGGGGGGGGCTCCAGCGCTCCGGGCCTCACCTCAGCAGAAGCGCATCAATCAGGTGATTTGTCGGTTCAGTTCACAGCGGTGAGTCCTAGCTATAGCCTTGGGTGAGTCGAGTTAATGGTGCGCTGTTTAAAGGTTGTCGATCCAACCCAAGGCACCGATGGTTCAATCTTCTCGTATACCTTAATTATAAAATGATCAACAAAGCCACGGTCTCAAATGCTACACCGTCTCAAATTGAAACACGTCGATAGGTAGATACAGCCTCAGGCTCGCACGCGAGCTTCCAATGTTCTGAGAATCCCTAATGTAATTTGCACCCGTCCGCTGCTCTGAATCCCCGCTCGTTTGGTAACCGAGTTTCACGGCAGTGGGCTCAACGAACTAGCCTCCCTGGGGTGCGGCCCGGGCAGGGCCTGCCTGCCGCTGTTTCACCACTCTCCTGCTGAAACTATTCCGGTCCTGCGCCGCCGACCCGGCCGGTCCTCTCGGTTCCGAAATCGGGCCGGAAGTGGGCGCTGCCGCCACCAGCGAGCGTCACGAGTCACGGCGCTACGGGCCGTCACGGGGCGGGGCCGGCTTACGGTGACCGCACGCCGTCCCTCCCCGCCCCTCCCCGCCCCACCCCGCCCGGCCCGGCCCGGCAGTCACTTCCGGTGATCTCAACGACCGGATGGGAAGTGAGCCGCCCCCGCCCTGCGCGACTGTCCAGCCGCACGGGGCGGACCGCCCGACGGTCGAAAATTGGGGGCGGACCGGCGCGTCCACAGGTCACAGTCGAGGGAACGGCGCGGTGGGCCAGAGAGGGAAGGGACAAAACGTGGGGTCAAAGGTCGGGTGAGTCGTTCCTCACTGTCCCCACGATATAATAGAGTAGCAGTAGGCTCAGAGATTGTATCGATTTGCGCGTGTCAAGCACGGTCCGTGCCCGGTCTATTGATTGGTTACATGACAGACCACGACTGTTATTGGTATCTGGTCCAATTTCATTAGCGATAGCTGTTGAGTTTGTCTCGAGAGACGCGAATTCACGCTGACCTCGTGTAACACAGCCCGCTGACATAAGTGGTGTAACGCAAAACAGCAATCTAGCATCCAACTGCGGAGCAATTCAGCAAAAGTCAGCGGGCACCGGCACACGCCTGCGCCAATCGCAAAAACGTTATCGCTTAACAGTCCTGTTAAACCAAACAAGAGCCCGCCGGGGTTTCACAGCGGTACCCGAGTGGGTATATTTCATCGGTGACCCACTGACACATTCACTGCGGGGGACGGAAGGCAGCCGTGACTGCAAATACAGCCACGATAGTGACGGATGGGCGGCTAGCGATAGCACGAGGACGACCCGACCGCACCGGCGCGGCACGCAGCGCGGCGAGGTGTCGGGATTCCCATTCGGGCTCGGCAGGCTCGCTCGTTTCCCTGGGCCTCAGAAAGGACCCAGAAGGGCCCCAGAGGTCCCACGTTGGTCCGAGCTGCCCGAGGGAAGGGAAGGGACTGAAGTTTATGGCACGCAGGTGTTCGACGTTATACGACAGGTCCGTCCCTCGGCCTCGGGATCCAGTCGTCGCGACGAAGCTACGAATGGACAGCGAAGAGGCATAATTCAAATTGGATTTCAAATTTCAATTCGATGGAATAGAAATCAGGAAGCGACCTTTCCAGGACTGGTCCGACAACATGCGACCAAAAATAAATGCTTCAGTCCCCTACATTTGCCTATTTTCTTCTATTCCTTTGGTGATAACCTGTTACTAATTATTGAATATCCCGTGACATCCCTAGTCCTTTCTAGGATATTGCCTCATGCCCCATTCGAGTTACTCTGACTCACAGAGGGGCAGCGTGGCTGAAGCGGGGAGCAGGGGAGGGGTCGCTGGCTCGGCGGCGAGTGGGGAGCGGGCGAGGGTCACTCGCGCGCTCGGCGAGCGGGGAGGGGGAGGGGGCTGATTCGGTCCGGGCAGGGAGCACCGCCAACTGCACGGGACGTCAGCTGTGCGCTCGGCAGGCCCCCAAAGTCGACGTCACTGCACAAATGTCAACAATGAATCAACTCGGTCACACCAGGCGAACGAGCGGACGGGGCCGGGCGGGCTCGGACGGACACGGGCGCGGACACGGGCGGGGCAGGCGAGGCTCAAGGCTGACGAACCGTCACCTCCTGTGTCCTCCCACCACACAGGACCCACAAACTCCGTCACCCGTTGCCGTATCAAACGCACACACCAAACACACGTGTATGAGTCGGTGGTGGGCAAATACACGCGCCACGCGTCACAGCGTGAGGTGGCTATTTGCGAACGGTGACAAGTGGGCCATACGACGATAGCCGCCCCGGTACAATGATAAGACGGTGAGCCCGAGCGCCATGCCCGCGCACACTGACGGGCGGTATACCCTCTCCCCGCGCTCTCTCCCCCGTTCCAACGGCGGGTAGAGGGAAGAGGTGAGGGGTGGGAGCGAGAGGAAGACGCCAGACGCGGGGCAGAGGAGAGGAAGTGTCGCCACAGCACCCGGCCCCCAAGAACGGGCGGCGCCAGATAAGATAAACCAGCGGGCGGACGCAGAGGCGCAGCCAGGTTCGAGCACAGGCCGGTCGTATCTAATGGAATAACCAGCAGTTCAAAGTCCGTGGTGCAATGTACATTTTTCAATGCGCATGAAAGATTTGATGAAATTCCTTCAATGCCATCAGAAGACTGTTCTGCGTCTGTAAGAATCTTGGTTCTGTGCCCGCGCTTGGCCGTCTGAGCACGGCACAGCGGATCAATTTCTCACACTCCAATCCTCGACGACTCGAGAACAAGTGTTCACAATATGGTCACCCTGGTGGGGCTCGTTTCTCCTTAATAGTCTCATTATCGTCATGGTGAAGATGGGGGATCCCCTGATTTCCTGCTGTGAGGGGGCACGGTTCCGGGCTCAATGGCGCCCATACACCCACTAAGCAGCGAGATATCTGATACGATCGTATCGGCTGAACAAAGAGTCAGAACTACTCCTCAATGGTGATAGGCTGGAGCAAGGGTGAAACACTCAGTTGCATTGCTTCCGAAAAACGTGTATGAGCTCGTGACTGATATGCGATGGTATACAAACACTCATGTGATCACCACACAGCTGATGTCATAAAGCATGAGCTAAGTCTCAAAACGATAAGGCCGTCCGGTCCTAGACCTCTGAGGTATAACGAATTCTCCCCTACCCAGTCCCACCTCGCGACTGGCACTGTCTAAGTAGTCCCCTGGCCAAACCCAACTCTCCCAGCCGTCAGACAGTTCGGCCGCGGCCAAAAATACGGCCCTCGGCCTCCGCCCTGTCTCCCCTATTTATAGCTGGGGTCCCGGCGCCCACCCGTCGGTCGCGACGCGTCGGTAGCGGCGGCGCAGCGGTGGCAGCGTCGAACTCCCCACGCGCTGTGCCGACGGCGAGGCCGGGGCAAAAAAGCAGAGAGAAGAGAGAGCGAGGAGCGCCGCCGGAGGAGTGGGCAAGAACACGGAGAATACGAGCCGGCAGGTGGTGATACACAGAGGAAACGAGGAGAAGTAGATAGAAGCTCGAATATCGACCGCGCCTGTGAGATGTGACTGATTACTTAAAAAAAAAAAAATATGCGCAAGGCGTAGTCGCACATCGGTGTATAAGGCATGTAGGATGTAGAGCGGAACAGGGCTCAAAATTATATTTACTTTTGTTCGGTGTGAAAACTCTGTCATCAAGGCATTAAGGTAAAAATAGGACATGAGTGTCCTAATTTTACTGTCTAGATCTGAATAGAACTACTGTCAAGATCTGCAGCGAGCAAGAAGAAAATAAGGCCATGTCTTTATCACATGACTTGATTTTAAGAGCTGTATGTATGGTAATTAATAAAACGTTAATTGGGCTTACCTACTTTTACTGAAAAACGTCGCTGAAGAGATGACCAGGCGCTTCTAACTTAATCGCTGTCATTTATTGACAGGCTGAAATAACAATAAAAATCTAGACGGCACAAAGTGAAGACCGAAGGGTAGGGAACTGCACTGGACTCCCGAGGAAGTTAAGATGCCGTTCTGCAGCCTTTTGTTTGCAGCACAGCGCCACGTCTAGACCCACATAACTGAGGCCCGTCAGTCGTCTTCATTTTTATTAATTAAAGGGCGGAACTCGGTCACAGAAACTTCACAAGCAAAACCCAAATTAAATCAGTCAAGTTGCTGTATGGAATTTGAGGAATTTTCATTAGCATGCCTCGCAGCACATGCCACGTGCCGAGTGGCATGTGCGCAGACACTTTAACCAGCAAAGGATTTGGTCAAGGTCCGTCTGCAATGGCATGCATCATAAAAGTACCTACATATACCAACTAGCTAACAAATGTGGAATAGTGGGAACTGGGAGAGATTGCCAGAGAAAAGGGAAATCAAAATTAAGTGGTTGCGTTATTGTAAGAATTCTCACAGCAGGAGATCACTAATAGTAATATCAATGTTATCCGATGAATAGGTATATTGGTGAGAAATCCTGGGTTCACGTCTCGCTCTCTCTCATAACCATGAAGTATGAACGGTTGAGCATCAAGGTTTAACGGGGATCCCGTATGGCACAAAACAAGTCGAACAAATTGTATGGGTTTTGATCGAGAGCAAAAATTAGCTGCAGTCATTCAATCACTAATGAATAACACAGTTAGGCAAACATAGGTTACCTAAATCAAATGAATGACAGGCCGCACTGCGGAATTCACACAGCATAATGGAGCTAATATGCAAAAATTGCTATGTTACGGTAAGAAGGAAATGTCAAGACCAAATGGCAAATGCCGTATATCGTATCAAATATCAAAATACCGTACTTTAGTCCAAGGCTCTAAAACATCGAACAGGGCATATTGTGAGGCAAACGAGGCATGCTTGCTCAATGCTAAGCATTCCGCAACGGGACCTTCATCCAGCAAAATCGCTCGAAACAAATACCTACCCCGAGACACGAAACTTCAAAAACCAACCCAAAAAGCACAATCAGCAAACACTCCAAACACAACCTACCAGCAGTCCACTCAGAAGTTTCTCACAGCTCCCAGCTGTGGGGAGCCATCCCTGGCGCCCCCTCGGCCAAGTCAGCTGTCAGTTGTCACCAGCCGTCATTGCGCCCCTCCCTCCCAGCGCGCGCCCCGAGAGATCAGACACCGCCCAATGACTGCAACGCACCACAAGCGAATTACTCAAAAACAAAACTGCCGGCGCGCGAGCACCCGTTGAACTCACCGTCACGTAGCGTGCGGGGGGTCGTCTCCACTGCGCCCGATGGAGTCGCCGGCGGCCGCGCCGTATCGACCGAGCCATATCGCACCGCCCGGACAGCGCCGCGCCGCCAGCCAATCGGCAACGTCGACGCCGGTCATGTGACCCCGTTGCCACGGCAACGGATGCTGAAGCACGCCGCCGAAACCGGAGCCTGCGGCGGCGCCGGCGGCCGTCCTGAAACCGAGCCAACTCGGGGGGGGGGGGGGTATGCAGGGGCGGGGTGCGGTGGGCGGCCGCCGCGGGGGTGGGGAGGTCAGACGAAGGGCACGCCTCAGGCGCCGGCTGCCCGGCGGCGAGGCGCCGCGGGCGCCTGGGCTGGGGTACCGCTGCCGAGATAAACATCCTCGACCAAGGCGGCCCCGCACCGCCCGGCCGCAGCAGGAACCGAGACGCTCTCTACAGACACGCTATTTGCCAGACGGAGTGCCGACTTCAAACGGCCTCTGGCGCAGCAATTTTAATAACATGCTTCTTATGACTTCTTCAATAAAAAAGAACAGCAAATAGGGAACGGTTAGTCTTTTGAAGTAGGCATGCATCCCCCCCCCCTATCCACCCACCACGAGGAAATCAAATCAAAGCAAGAGGCGGCACCTCTGACCTCATTGTCAGCACGATGAACCAATTCCGTCCAAATCTTCACAAAAACAAAGCACGGTTAATGATAAAAGATTTTGAAGTTGAGCACTGAGCAGTTATTACGGAGCGAGCGAAGCGAGCGGAGTCTTACGTAGAATACGGAAATTTCTGAGTATGAGCGGCCGGCCGGCCGGCCGGCCGCACTCTCAGCACATCTCAGCAACCACTTGACCGATTTACATGCGGTAATTTTTGTATTGTAGGGTAGCTTCATTCTTTCTACCAAGTATTGGACTATTCCCGATGCATGTGGGTGACCCCTTATGCACGTGCCACGTGCAAAACGAAGAGGTGTCACTTTTGTAATTGTTGCAATATCTCGGTAACTACTTGGCCGATTGCGCTGAAAGTTGGCATGTAGGTAGGCACCCACTAGGCACTGCATATCCATGTGCCAGAGTTGGGGTGCCGCTGCACGTGCGCACGTGCAGGGGTCGTTTCCAGATCTCGAGAACGGCTCGACCGATTGCGCTCAAATTTGGTACACAGTTAGGGATCGGTTAGTAGGGTGCCGTGCACAAGTCAATTGGGACCCATTTTGCACGTGCGCACGTGCAGGGTGCCGCTTTCAGATCTCGAGAACGGCTGGGCCGATTGTGCCCAAATTTGGCACATCGCTAGAGACCGGTTAGTAGGGCGCCGTGCACAAGTCAGTTGGAGGTACCCCCTCGCAATTTCGCACGTGCAAGGCCCACCCTCTCGCTCGCTCCGTTAGTCGCCCCAAAAGGCGTTATACTGGTAATACGCGAGCAGATACCTGGCAAAACCACCCAGCTGGCTGAATCTCAACATACCTATTACCTACCTACTCCGACAGGCGGAACGGGAACTCATTCAAATAAATAATTTTGCCTCCCATCCGTATTTATTCCAATTGGTCGAATAATATCTACCCAAGTACAAAGCAAGGGCGGCGCCACCGTGGGGGCAGTGGGGGCAGACTGCCCCCATTGACAGGAGGCCGTGGGGGCAAGACTATGTTTTTGCCCCCACAAAATTTGGCTGATGTTGAAAAGCGAATAAAAGACCTGTGGCTGTGGAATATTCATGATAGGTAGGTACTGTAGGATGTCATGATGCAAAGAAGGCTACAAAACTATGGTAATTTTGAATGACAACATCTAGGGACAAGGTGCTCCTTGATTCTGCAGATCGGGGTATCAGACAACAGCTGGGTCACCTCAAGCTTGCCCCCACTGGCGAAAATTCGTGGCGCCGCCACTGGTACAAAGCGTTTACCCACTTCTCGAAAGTTGAAGAAATGCTTTCGAATAAAACATACCAACCTAAAGACGAGATAACACACCCCGACTCCCGAGGTTATTGAGATCAAGTTATTTTGCATAACTAGACACGTAAAATAACTTGATCGTTAATCGAAAATTTGACATTGCAGCAGAGGCAAAACAAGATGCAAGCGATCTGGGTGATTGCTCTAGGCACATTTTGACGTTCGTGGCATGCATGTGAACACATGAAGTTGAACAGTTAGGTGAGCTATGCTTACAACGTGGCATGTTTCAGTTCTTTATACTGCATTTGTGTGCACCTGAGGCTGACAGCACGAGTGGGAGAGGTAAGAAATCGATCAAATACTCGTGGATCGGCTACAGCACAGCATGACAGAGTGGATCCAAGATTTGCACTTGCAAAAATAGATATTTCCGTTTCTAACTAAACGACTTCGAGCAGGGAAAGGGCTAGAGAACGAGCTAGCGGCAAGGAAAGAGCAGCGACTCTCTCCCGACCTCTGCCTCGGAGTCAGGCTAGACCAAACAAACGATACCGTATCGTTCGATAAACAGGCAGCAGACCTCTCCCCCCCCCCTCCCCCCAACTGACGGGGAGGAAGGCGCAGCCTCGCCGGGCTGAGGTCTCGGCTGAACGAACCGGGAAGCGCAGGCAGAGATAGTGCACGCTCAGAGGCATGCGGACTGTTTGGAGACGCCGTTCGATGACCTCAGGAGAAGAGGCGTCTTGCTGGCTGCTGAGAAGGGGGTTGTTGCATTGTCCATGGCGTTAGCTCCGTGAAAAAGTCTTCAGGAAACTCTTGAAAGGGAAAGGCAGCTAGAAATTTTGATCGGTCGAGCCTGAAGTTACACAATGCACATGCCCGTTCTGGGCATTTTACTTGCCGCAAGGCCTTGCCAGAAAACGTAAGCCTAAAATACCGATCCATGCATGCAGAAAGTAATAAATCGGATGTTACATGCGTAAATAATTCGTTCAGGTAAAACCCTAAATAAGAACAACACACTTGTGAACGAAAAATAAAGGAAATGTATCAACGCAACATAAAACTAAATGCCGAGAATTGAGAAACTGCACCAACATCTGCACATCCCTCAAACAATATCCAGAACAGCAGGCACCCCGACTTTCGACCCTCCTTGTGTGGACTGTGTCCGGCGTGTCCGCTGTGTCCAGTACCGTTCGCCGAAGGTGAGCCAAGACACCTGTCCGCCTGCAGTGGTAGGCTGGCCCGCAGCGCACCGGTCCAGCACACAGATAACGAAGACACCTGCCTGCCTGTCGTGGTAGGCTAGCCCGCAGCGCACCGGTCCATAGGGGAGAGTGGGGTGGGTTGTATCAGTTTTTACTCCGAGACCCATAACCTCGTAACTATCCGTGATAAACTCATTATTTCCATACTATCCCCTTCCTTGATTCTTCTGCTTTTTTGTGCAAAGTAACTTTTCTGCTACCTCTACCAGTTTTTCTTCTACGGTCTCCCGAATAGAACAATGTTTTTGATACAACTTGCCCCATGGCTTGGGTGAGTTGTATCACATGGTGGGGTAATTTGTATCACTATTTCACGTTTCAGGGAGTGTGCTTCCTATTGGTTTTGAACATAACAACAACATTAAATGGGGTTAATACAATGTATAGGTATGCTCAAAGGCTTCACTTTATTAGACCAAACTTAGGTCAATGCAATCCGAACGAAACATCAACAGACTAGACGCAAAAGTGGCCCGTTAAGAGCAAAGAAGCCAACACATTGTGCCGGAATGGAACGAGCATTGACTAGCTACCTACAAACGCGAGCCAGGGCTTAGCTTTCGCGATCAAAAGCAACATACCCATACATACATACATACATACATGTTACAACATACCCCACCCGGCTCTGATACAACATGTACCTAGCCGCCATCTTGGAAAAAAAAAACATCCTCGTACTAAAAAAACAGCGGACAGCTGGAGAAATCCGTTTTCACTCACGCAGCCTTAGAACCTACCCTCACCACCGCTACGGAGATCTTTCAAATTCGTGCACATCTAAATGCCCAGAACACACATTTTCTTGCAACTTATTTTTTTAGAATGACATTAAAAAAACATAAAATCGGCTCTCACCTCGAGACGCGTCCACTCAGCCACAAGACAGAACAGGGAAAGATGGCGCCCGGAAAACCTCGTCGGCTGGTCGTGTCGCGAGCGCCATCCATTGGATAAGTTTGGCACAATTCGCCCTGATACAACTTGGACATGATACAACTCACCCCGCTCTCCCCTACAGATAAGACGGAGCGGCGGCGCGGCGGTCGGCGGCAGTGGCGGCAGAGGGAGGGACATAGGAGAAGACGACGCGCGGTAAGAAGGATGGGTACGGAGGGAGAGGCGATGGCGATGAGAGTCGTACAGGAGCAATAGGAGGCAGCGAAGAGATGGAGGAGAAGGTGAGAGGATGTCGCGCGGTGTTGTAGGAGGAATAGGAGGCAGCACAGGTGGGGAAAGAGGCAGTGGGAGAAGCGAGGTAACTGGTAAGATGGTGATTCACTGATTATACAATATACATGGGTATGGGTGCTGGGCATAGGATTAGGCTTGTAAGTACGGGTAGATAAGCGGAAAAAGCGGAATCTTATTTCGGCTAACAACAAAAGGTGGCGACAAACGGTAAATGGCATTCGAAGGATCGCCAAATAATTAAGAACCTAGTTTCTCGTACGTACCTTGGGCACAATTAAATCCAGGTCACACATCAAGTTACCAGAGGTATTTATTGACCAAATTTCCCGTATTCTGCGAGTTTTTACAAAGTGATTCAAACCCGTGATCAATAACTGAAATAAAAGATACAACACTATGTAGTGCCTCAGTAATATGTAGCAGTAAATCGCATACATATACCTAATACCTACCTATTTGCAAGTGTTACCTAAACCTAAGTTATTTTTGGCCTGCAACAGGCAGTAACCGTTTAATTAAATAGGTAGGTAGACGTTTTGTGGAAAAGCTTTTTATTGAGAATTGAGTGATATTTGTGTCATGTTTCATGTTTCATCTATATCGTGTTTCGCTTAACGAGACGCATCAAATGTTTAGTGTTATCAAATGATT